TATGTCATTCACATTTAATGATTTGAGCTCAACTTAATTGCAAAACAAATATTAGATACTTTTGCTTCATAAAACAGAACTCTTAGTATCTAAGCCTGAATTTAAACCAAAGTTTTCCTAAAACAACTACACTAATGATTTTAAAAATACTGATAATTCTTATATTGATTTAAGAATGTATAAAATGGAAAATTTATTGAAATACTGAATGCATAATTCACTTCAATACATAATTTATCTTCTTTTAATATGTTACATTATTCCAGAAATTCATATACAGTCAAAAGTCGTTAATCCGGACTCATCGGGACTTCGACGATTCCGGATTATAGATCATCAGTTTAAATCTCGTAAGATGGCATGCAGAAATTCTAAAATTAAAAATATCAAACCGTAATTTATGAATAAAGAACAATTATGATAATTATTAAAGGGTATCAAAATTTACAAAAAAAAAAAAAAAAAAAAGTTTAATATTTATTTGTTTACTTTATTAAACATTTCTTTCAATGTAAGTTGTTTAGGTTGCTTCGTTTTATGTGATAATACTTTCTCTTTAATTCTATAAACAGACATAATTTCTTGTTCAGTTACAAAGTTCCGCTGTTCAAGTCCCGTTAATTGCTGTGCCGAGAATGCCGACTAACTTGTTAATCGAAATTTTTTCGTTTTCACTAACCTCTCTGTCACATTCTTCATGTCTTTATCCATTTTTTTGCAGCAATTCCACTTTTTGTTTGTTGGACATCGAAACATACTTTCGTTTTGTAGATCCTTTGGAAGTTCCAGCATCGGAAATTCTATTTGACATAATCGAAAGTTCAAGTTTACTTTTATAAAATTGCTCTTACAGTCTGCAAAAAATAATAAGCGGGATCCAATTCGAAGATTAAGGAACAACGCAATCATTAACTGAAATAGATAATTAGATAATTTTAGCTTACACCGTCCGTTATACATTAAACGCGCAGGCGAAAACGTATTCTGCACTTGCGCACACGCATATGCGCAGTAGTCAAGGTCTTACGCGCACACGTAAAACGCCTGTGCGCATGTGCCAACGCGGCTTGTGCGCAGAAAGTTTTTAGCTTTGAGGTCCGGATTATAGATCATTCCGGATTATGGGTGTCCGAATTAACGACTTTTGACTGTATACAGTTTCATTTTTTAAAAATATGTACTATACTTAAGAAAGATCTCTCAAATGATGTTGAATTTTAACGATGGCTGTTACATTTTTCAGTCAGTTGTACACTTCTATCAGAAGCAAAAATGTTTTTTATTCACTACATTCCACCCTTTTGTAGTTCTTTGAATACTGTATATATATTAATAAAACAATTTGAAGGACCAAAGTCCATAGCTATCCTATAACAGTTAATATGCATGTATGATACAAGCTCTTGATCATCCAAGGTGACCTTGGTGTATATTACTTTGAATAATCAGTCTATCATATAAAAAAAACTGAAATTTATTAATTCTTGAAATTATTCTTAGCATAAAGAATATCAAAATTTTCTCAGTATCTTGCACAGAAGATCACCCACCCTGTGAAATTCCTAAACAAATATGAAGTTAACTGAATAATATTACTACAAACTGAACATAAATTTCAGAAGTTTTTTCCCCACCAAAATATACTGAGGAATGGGTACTTGCCATTTTATTTACCATGTTCACATTCTAGGCGCCTAAATAAATGTAATGAATTAATAGAAAAATCAAATTAAAATTCAGTTCAAATTTACATGGACTAGATTATTGAACTATTTGAAATTCAATTCTGTTGTAAAATATATTAACATTTAATTCTTATATTCTTTGGCTAATTCCATTTTTTTAAATCTTCATATAAAAATTTAGAAATGACTACAGATTAAGACAACTCTGACCAAATGAAATTTAATAAAATGTAACAAGAAAAAGTACAATTCAAATGAAATAGAATTTAAAAATTTTGAAAATCATTAGAGATTGAGGGAATGGAATTTGCCTAATTTAAGTTTAATTAAATACATTCCATTTATTTCTGAGAAACATTTTCCTTTGTTAAGACTAAAAATTTAAAAAAAAAGAGTAGGCAGCAATGAATTATTCTTCAATATAAAAAATGTCCTAATTTCCATACTGGCTTTAGTTATCTATTAAATGAAAGTCCACAGGAGACATGCAGATAAATTTCTAAAATTACTACACTCAAAAGTCTTTAATCCGGACTCGTTGGGACTTCCGGATTACAGATCATCAATTTAAATCTGGTAAGATGGCATGCAGAAAACATAAAATTAAAAATTTGAAAACATAATTTATGAAATAAAGAGCAATTATGATCTAAAGGATATCAAAATATACAAAAAAAAAAAAAAAACTTAATATTTATTTGTTTACTTTATTAAACATTTCTTTCAACGCATGCATGCGTAAAGAATACATTACGCATAGTCGAAATTAGAAAATTGCAATCAGAAAACTATTTGATGTGTATCCGTAATATAATGACGAGAAATTTGATTTAAATCATATCAAAAACGGAGTACATTGAGATGAAATACTACATTTAGTAAGGAATTATAAGCCGAATAAAATAAAAACATCTGCCCTGAATATAAGGATAGTGCTGACAGATCAACTTCCAGTTCATTGCGCGCCGTGATGTTCCTCCCCCCGCAGAGCAGTGTAAAATTGATAAACAGATTTTGGAAAGGTTAGAGAAACAAAGGATATGCCTTTATACATTTTTTGCAGCAATTCCACTTTTTGTTTGATGGACATCAAAACATGCTTTCGCTTTGTAGATCCTTTGGCAGCTCCAGAATCGGAAATTCTTTTTGACATAATCTAAAGTTCAAGCTTACTTTTATAAAATTGCTCTAACAGTCCGCAAAAAAAATAAGCCGGATCCAATTAGAAGATTAAGGAACAACGCAATCTGCAACATTAACTGAATTAAGATAATTTTAGCTTAGCTTATACCGTCCGTTATACATTAAACGAGCATGCATGCGCAGAAAGTTTGTAGCTTTGAGGTCCAGATTATAGATCATTCCGGATTATGGACGTCCAGATTAAAGACTTCTGACTGTATTCTTATAATAGAAAAGGGGTGGTCAATGTATGCTGCAGAAAAGCTTCTCGAACAGAAAGGTGATGATAAAGAAAAACTAAGTTATTTTATGAACTTGAGCATACTCTCTATAGCCACACTTGGAAATTTTCATTTTTGGGGGGTTAAAAATCTATTATCACATGTGCCACTAAAATGAAAGGTAAAGTTCAATAGGAAAATTTTTCACAGACAACAGCAAGTTTAACGAATTAATCAAATGAAAGAAACAAATTTAACAAATTAATTTCGTTTCTTATGACTTAAAATTTACACACATGCTCAGACATTCATACCCAGAATTAAAAAAAAAATTTTTTTTTTGTCAATAATGAAATTCTGAATTTAGTTTCAGTATTGCATGATAATCAAAACCAACACTTAAATGTCACTAACATATTTAATGAACTTTTGTCATTATGCAGAATGATACTGGCACAGCTATAACATACTGATTTTTACTTGAAAAAAATGCTCAAATTTTTTTAGTATGATTAGTCTTCATACTAAAAAAATGCTGGATAACATAGCTCAACCACCATACTAAAAACTGCTATTGATTGGAAACTTGCCTTTACTAGAAAATCCACGAGCATAGCCTTTATACTTTAATATCATAAATTACATGAAATAAATAAAACTATTAAAAACTAAATTCCATATTTATTCAAATTGGTAGGACCATCTGCTACTACTTTTTTTTATCCTAAAAATAAATAATTATTAAATGATATGCATGGCTGGAAATTTATGAATACAGCAAATGACATACTCTTTAATAAATTCATTTCACATTTTGTTCCAACTGATCGATTTACTAGGAGAAAATTTAAATTATGGACATATCCCATATAATTAGCAGAATTCAGTAGTTAAGGTCAAACATTTCACCAATCTGTTTAAGCATTGAATTTACCAATAATGATACTATAATTAAGGCCTTTTTACGAAAAGTTAACTTCTATGCAATCAAATAAAGCATGTTAATCTGCAAAACAAGGCACAGAAGTCAACCTTGAAATCTGAAAAATAGCAAGACTTCTGGGAGAAAGTAGAGATGCTTTTACGCTGCACGGCAACATTAAAAATATACTGACTTATACAGAAATATTTTTAATGCCTTTATTTTTTAAATTGCTTCCAAATGAATTCGTTCTTAATTATATCCAAAAAATTAAAGATTAAAATTGCGATTTAAAAGGTCTACTAGACTTTTCGAGAAATGAAATACTCAGCAGAGAATGCACAGCTTATGTTAATTATAATTCTGAAGAGAAATTCTTGCAATTAGAAAAGCCACTACCTTTTCAAATTGAAACCTTTTCCCGACTGCGATATTTTAAGTTTAGAAATGAAAAGGCAGATGTTATTAATGTCTGGATAAAAGGTAGAGAGTTAAAAACTGCAAGCAAAAAGTAAAATTAGCTTCTATAATTAACAAACATTCGAAAGTGAATTGTTGGGCATTAAAATAACACAAACAAGAACTAATTATCATACTTATTCAAAAAAATACAAAGAGGAAATTCTATATAGACTAAATAAAAATAATATTCACAGGAAAAGTGCACAGCAAAAATGGATGAGAAAAATACACATGTATGAATAAATTTTCAAACTGATACATATTCAAAAGAACTGCATGACGAACAGCAACAACGAACTAGCTACACACAGAAATGGCATTTTTCTTGAATCATCAAATTTGGCACATAATCAGATAAAATAAAAATTTTCACACGTAAAAAGCAGACTTTTATCCTAGAATATAATAAAAAATTCAGTAATTAAGATCAGAAAATCTTTTACCAATCTGTTAGGCCAAGAACTTACTTACCCGCATTAGTTTTAATGAATATTCTCAACAAATCGCATCTCAATCTGTTAAATAAACTGTATTAATATGCAAAACAAGATATTAAATAATACAAACAAGAATTGACATATTTATTCAAAAGAGGCATAAAGAAGAACAATTTTTATGCAAACTAAGTAAAAACGGCACATTTACTTGAAATTTTGTCAAAAATTTACCAGCAAAAACTTGATGAATCTCTACATGAGCTAAAGAAAATACCACATTCAACTTGAAATGAGTTCAGTCAGAAATTTACTAGCACAATAAAAAGAGACATGGAGGGAAAAAAAAGAAAAAACAAGAATTAATTTTTATATCTACTCCCCCCCCAAAAAAAAAAAAATGCAGAATGAGCAGCAGCAACACAAAACAAAGTAGACAATTAAAAATAATTTTAATGAATCGATCATTAATAATGAAATTCTGGGCATATACCACATAATCAGAGATAAAGTACAAATTTTCATACATAAACAGCAGATTTTATCCTACAATATGATTCAGTAATTAAGAGCAGGTAATATTTTACCAATTTGCTAGGCCAAGATCTTACCATCATTGGTTCTAATGCATTTTTCAACAAACAGCATTACACATCTGTCAAATAAACTGCATTAATCTGCAAAACAACACATTAAAATAATACAACTAATTAACATATTGGCTCAAAAAAGGCATAACGAAGAGCAACTTCTACACAAATTCAGTAAAAATGGCACATTTACTTGAAATATCCTCAATCAAAAGTTTACTAGTAAAGCTTTTACATGTGTTAGAATTTTCGTGGTTACTTAAAAAAAATGGAAACAGTAATCTCTACACGACCTAAATGAAAATGGCGCATTTATCTAAAAACACGGTAATCGGCCAGAAATCTACCAGCACATAAAACAGAAAATGAGCATGAAAAAATATACGCATGCAAAAATTACTTTTCATATTTAATAATAAATATAAGATATAAAGCAAACACTTACCAGAGAAATAGAAACCTTGGGTATTTGACGAATAACCTGAAATTTGCCATTGCGCACATCTAAAAACAAACAACTTCAAATTAATCAAGCAAAATGTGTAAATTTGGAAAACAAGGTATTAAAAATTTACGATAGAATTTTAGCATACTTACGGATCAAAAACAGACCACTCTTCAACCACAGTTCCAGAAATAAGAATGAGCCAATGACGCCAAATTACTTGGCGAGAAAGTTATTAGTAGATCTTCATGCAACCCAGAGAATCTCGTAACTCCTCCCATTTTTTCCCCCTTTTTTCTCGTGAAGATAACCTGTCAACAACGAATTCCTATGTTAAGTTGTTCAACAATATCGTGATAAAATGTGGTGTTTGTTATTTGCGTTTTTCTAAAGTGTGCGTCGTGTGAGATAAGTGAACCAAAGTAAGATTGTTTTCGTATTTTATGATCTTTTAAAACAGACGTGCTATTCATAATACTTTACTATTCATATTACTTAAGTTAAATAATTTCTAAGAAATATATTTTAGAATTGGCGGGAAGTTAGATGAAATTTTGAATTCTCGTATGCATAGAACTTCACTCACACTGCAATTAAAGAGGCAGAAATGTTCTATTTAATAGAAATCTCTGATGATTAAATAGAACGTTACATTTAATAAATGTGTGCGCTTTTAATTAAATGGTGTGAATTATAAGTACCATCCTTTTAGGTTTTCTGAATGAGTAATCATACTTCTTTTAGAGGGCTCTTTAAATCGTGATATTTAATCCAACCTATATTGTAACGTGGTTTTACAAAAATTGAAGTATTATTCGAAATTTTATCTGTGAAGTGCTGTTATTGTTCAAAACAGTGACATGATATATACAGTGGCTCCCAGAAGTGTTAGTACACTTATGATTTTCATTGAAATAGGGCTCTATCCATTAATTAAATGTAAACTTTCTGAATGAGATTTTAATAATAGGATCTATAATCTATTCGTAACAAAGTTACATGAAATATTTTTAAAATGTAGCAAAACTTTTTTTTTAAGAAATTAATATTAAAAAATAACAAACATTTTATCTCACAAAAGTCTTCGTACATTTCAAAAAAATCTTGACATATTAGTAAATATTTTCATTAAATTAATATTTAATAGGATATCCTTTAGCATCCACAACAGCTTTTAAACGTATGGGAATAAATTTTACTAGTTTTTTTGTAATTTCTGTATCAATGTTCATCCGTTCTTTCATTATGACTGTTTTTAGTTCGCTTTTCGTTTGGATGTCGTGTTTCTATACTCTAACCTCCACTTCTTTCCAAATGTGTTCTGTGGGGTTTAAATCTGGCGACTGAGGTGGTGTTTTCAAAACCTGTGGACAATTATAGAGACACCACAGGCGAACGATGAGAGCCATATGCTTAGGATCGTTATCATGATTAAAAATAAAGTTGTTTCCAATAACTAAATTTTGGGCTGATAATTTTAAATTGTCCCTTAAAATATTTAAATAAAGAGAATGACTTATTATGCCATCAATAAATACCAAATTACCATCCACTCCCCCCCCCCCACAAGAACACCTCCACTGCCATACTTAACTGTTCCAACTAAGTTCTTAGAATGAAGTTCCTCATTTTTTCTTCTCCATGCAGTTATTCAACCATTGGAACCAAAAATGTTAAATTTGCTTTTGTCAGCAAATAGGACATTATTCCAGTACATTTCGATTGTATTTATCATTGATTTTGCGAATGAAAGCCTGAGCTTTCTGTTTTTCTCAATAACAAAAATTCTTTTATGGGCAGAACGCCCATGTGATCCAGCTTCTCTGAGAACTTGTTGAACAGTTTCAGGTGAAATTGAAATAGAAAACTTTGCATTAATTCTGCAGAACTCAAACGTGGGTTTTTCACAAATTTTCTAATAATAAATCTCTCATCACGTTTAGTTAACGTTCTCGGTCGACCTTTTTTTACCTTCTTTCAATCTGATTTTCTTCTAAAGCGTTTTATCATATACTGCACTGTAGAATGGGATAAATTAACTAATTTAGCGATATTTCGAATTGATTTACCACTACTATGGTGAAAAATGATCAATTTTCGAATGCTGTTTGTAATTTGTTTATGACTTATTTCAATAATAAATAGAATATTATGAAGTAAAAAATAAAAAAATTAAAGCAAACGATTTCTTAAATGCCACCACAATGCAAAAATTAAAAAAAGTGGCAAACGATAATTCTAATTTTGATTTTATCCAAAAATATTTTAGTGTACGAAGACTTTTGTGAGATAAAATGTTTGCCATTTTTTGATTTTTAATATCTTAAAAATAAAGTTTCGCCATATTTAAAAAATATTTCGGCTTTGTAATATGTTAACAGGTAGTTTGGCGACATTTTGGTAAGGTGATAAAGGTTACTAGCTAGGACTTTAGCAGAGTCCTTGGATAAAAGTCAAGAGTGTGCGCAATGCCATTTTTGTGCAATTCTGGGATATTTTTTTAAGTGAAAATAGGTCGACGTGTACATGGATATGGTACTGTATGTGCAGTTCTTAAAAACGCGGCAAGCAGTGGGCGATTCTGCACTTTCTCCCAATTTCGCACCTAATCTTCGTCATTATTAAGCACTTTTGTTCCATAAAAGTTCTAGCATAAGCATAATTCGGCTAGCAGATTGTTGGAAAAAAATGTTGAGTAAAAAAAAAAAAAAAAAACATGCCTTTACTTCGTGAAAACAAAATGGTGTCTAAAAAGAAAACTAGCAGGGTTGATCGCCAAAAAATCGCCAAGTTACCATAATCCAAAGATTAACCAAATATTTCATATAATTTTGTTACAAATAGATTATAGATCTTATTATTAAAATCTCATTCAGAAAGTTTACTTTTAATTATTGGATACAGCCCTATTTCAGTGAAAATCGTAAGTGTACAAACACTTTTGGGAGCCGCTGTATGTTACATTTCTGAAGATGAAAATATTAAAAGGATTATGATAGTGCCGTGAATGAAATGCAGTTCCATTGGTTGATGTAAATACCGTGATTTTTTTATGCTTAACAACATGCGAGAGTATTTTAATAAGTTTTAAAATTCTATATTCGTTTTGAACAGCCAAAATGAATGTCTGTCTTTTTAATAAATAACTGTTTCTCAGCATGAAATACATTTTAAATATAGCATTTCCACAAAAAGTCACCAGCTCAGTGAATGTGCTGTGAATAAGCACATTCACTGATGTGTCACCAGCTCAGTGAATAAGCACATTCACTGATGTTTCACCAGCTCAGTGAATGTGGCCTTGTGAATTGATGAAAAGCATTTCTTTCATAGGTAGTATTCTGTTCAAAAATAGTAATAAAAAAAGTGTTTTATGAAAAACAGAAAATTTAATTAGGTAGAAAAAAAACCTGTGTAGTCAGTGCTTATTTTTTTTTAAACCGATTGATATTGTGTCGTGAAATGATTGTTAAATATAAAATATGCAAATCTGCAGGGATTTGAATACATGTGTGGTATATGCATGTATGAGTTATTTATTATTGCATGTGTATTAGGAAATGCTTTAAAAAGGAGGGACTGAAACTTGAAACTGGAATGTGGATAGTCAGAGGGTACTTGCATATTATCACAATGATAGCGAAACTATCACCAAGCAATATGATTTCACACTAGTTATCGGTAAGGGTGACATAATGACATACTCCTAATATCCACATTTTTATTTGATGTAATCCCAGTTAATTGTAAGCCACATTTTGTTTTTGTGGACAGATATAGAAATTAACTGTTATTGCTGTATGTTTCTCATGTATTTTGGTAAAAATTATTAAAATTTCAAGACCTGCCTTCTACAGAAGCAGTGGATTATTTTCAAAGTTATGAGATCCTACTTTTAGAAAAAGTGGGTAATCAGGTAGTATGCGATCTAACTTTTAGTCATTTTTTTAATTTCTTAGATAATACTGTTTTTAAATCTGAACATGAATAAAATAGAGGAAAAAATAAATGATTAAAACAACCAGTTTTAGTTCCGCTAGATAAAAAATTAACTAAAAACAGTAAATCACATTTTGCATGATTATTAAATAATGTATAATTAAAATTAAATTGCATATTGAGAGAATAAAAATATTACTAATTAAGCTAAATTAATGATAAATAAGTAAAAATTAGATTAATATTCAGTCAGTAAGTAGTATCCTTAAGTTAACAAAGGGTTCGTACGGTCCTTAAAAGTCCTGAGTTTTTTTTTTTTAATTCATTTTTGGTCCTTAATTTCTGCCAAAATCGGGAGAAGGCCCTTAATTTTAATCATCTGAAATTTCTCTCTGTTTTTACAAGTGCGATTCTGAGTGTGAATTAAGCATTTTAGAGGAATAGTTTTAGTGACAAATATGGCTATCTTTAGACTGGGTTCATGGGTTATAAATTTGTTCCTTTTTCTAATACAAACAGTTTGAAACATGAGTTTGTGGGCAAGTAGTGAAACATAGCATTTTGAAATTATTTCATTTTTTGTAGTGGAGAGCTCCTAAATAACTTTTCGCTTTTTGGGATGAGAATTCTTTTATTAAACAGTTCTAAATTTGGCAACTTAATCAACATTTTGCTAATTTTAAGATCAATTTCTATAAAATAATTTAAATTCGGAGATCTGGGAATTGTTTCCTGATTTTTTTTTTTTAAACTTCTAAAACTGTGTTTAAATTTTCATAATACAGTCAAAAGGCATTAATCCGAACTCGTCGTGACTTCGGCGATTCCGGATTATCGATTTAAAAACTTCTAAAACCGGGTTTAAATTTTCATAATACAGTCAAAAGTCATTAATCCGAACTTGTCGTGACTTCGGCGATTCCCGATTATCGATTTTTCCGGATTATAGATCCTCAGTTTAAATCTGGTAAGATGGCATGCAGAAATTATAAAAATTAAAAATATGAAACCGTAATTTATGAAATAAAGAACAATTATGATCTAAAGGGTATCAAAATTTACAAAAAAAAAAAAAAAAAAAAAGCTTAATATTATTTGTTTACTTTATTAAACATTTCTTTTCAATGTAAGTTGTTTAAGTTGCTTCGTTTCATGTGATAATACTTTCTCTTTAATTCTATTAAACAGACATAATTTCTTGTTTAGTTACAAAGTTCCGCTGTTCAAGTCCTACATAATTGCTGTGTCGAGAATACCGACTAATTTGTCAATCGAAATTTTTTCGTTTTCAATAACCTCTGAGTCACTTTCTTCACTATCGGAAGCGAATTATAATGACGAGGAACTTGATTTAAATCATATCAAAGACCGAGTACATCGAGATGAAATACTACATTTAGTAAAGAATTATAAGCCAAATAAAATAAAAACATCTGCCTGAAGATAAGGATAGTGCTGACAGATCAACTTCCAATTCATTGCG